GCTGGCGTTGGGTCTCCCGCAGGTGCAGGTGCTCCCGCGGCAGGCTCCGCCTCCGGGGCCGCGCCGGGCGGGGCCGCGAAGTCCTTTGTCGGCAGGAAGTTGGCCGGCAGGGGGCCTGGTGGCAGAGGAGGGCGGCCTGCGGCGGCGGGCAGCGGCGCGCCGGCTGGGCGAGGGGCGGGCAAGGGCGACAGGAGTGGAGCTGCTGCTGCTGCTGCTGCTGCTGCTGCTGCTGGGCGTGGAGGGGCGGCTGCAGCGGGACGAGGAGGCGCCGCCGGCGGTACCGGCGGAATCTTGAAGGTCACCGCTGTACCGACGGCGGCGACAGCGGGAGGCCAAGACGGAACCGCAGACGGAGGAGCCGCCGCCACCGATGGCGAAGGAGCAAGCGCGGCGGCAGCAGGGGGGGTGGGGGGTGAGTCGGCGGGGGCAGAGGGATCGGCGGCGGCAGCGGCGGCGGCACCGGCCGCAACGGGGGCAGCTGGCATCGGCTCGGGACCGCCGCCGATCGTGTCGTTGGACGAGATGGCGCGGGCGGAGTCGGAAGAAAAGAAGCGGCTTCGGAAGGCCAAGCCCGCCGGGAAGAAGGTCGGGTGGGCGGACCGCGCGGGACGAACTCTCCAGGTGAGTTGAGGACCGCTGACCTCCTGGGTGGGTGGGTGGATGTGGGTGGGAGCGATTGGTGAAGCTCATTAAGAATTTTGGAAGGAAAGCGTTGAAGGGCGACGTTTGATGTTGATGAATCACCCGGGGACCAGAAGAGCGCTTCAGGTGAGGATTGTTGGCCCCTCTTTGGTGGGTAGGTGGGTAGGAACGATTGGTGAAGCTCTTTTCGTATTTGAAAGCACCAACCGTGTTAAGGGGTAACGTTTGATGTTGCATCAAGGGTGTGCGCGAGCGATTGGCGAAGCCCCCTGTGCGTTTGGGAGGAGAGTGTCAAGGGCAAAGTTTGATGTTGAATGATCCGCACCAGAAGCCTCTTCCTTGAGGGTACACCAGGTGGATTTTCTCGTCGCGTCATAAATATCATGAATGATACGAAGAGCATCACATGAGAAAGTTGGTATAATAGTGTAGCATAAAGCCGCACGTGAGTGGGTTCTTATTTGAACACTTGAGCCCAAAGAAAAACAATGCGGCATTTGTTGATTAAAGCTTTCTGGACGACCTGTGACCAGGGGATAAATCGGTGTCTTGAAACACCACTGCTGGGTAGGGAGGCCGTTTACTCTCCCGTACACGTTGCACTGGGGTAGTGGTGGCCGTCGTGTGCGCCTGCGTTCTTCTTGTCTCTTGTCTCCGATCCTCCCACAGGCTCGCCGGCGATGCTTTTTTTTTGCTGGCGTGTCGTTTTTTTCTGTTTTTTCCTTGCAAACCAAAGTAAATTTGCTTGTATCCACATGGATCACGCGTCCAGGATTAAAGTTGACCTACCTTGTTGCCTGTGGTTCGCTGAACCCCGAGCAGCTTACAGCGACATAAGTCTGTTTTGTTTCACCACATCTGCAACCGTTTTTCACCGGTTTGTCGGCTGCTGGTGTGTTTCTGCCGATACCCACGCTGCTTACAAGCATGCTTCTAATCTGTTTTGGTTCACACGTACCAGGGACTACCACGTATTTTTCCTGCCTTTCAATCACTGCTGTTGCTGTGCGTGGGGGGGGTGCAGGTTACACCGTATCGGATATATCGGGTTTTGGTTCACACTTACCGTACCACTTATTTATTTTTCCTGCCTTTCAATCACTGTTGTTGCTGTGCTTGGGGGGGGGTGCAGGTTATGTACATGTCGGGTTTTCGTTCACTATGCATGCCACTTTTTTTTTTACCAGCCTTTCAATCACTGCTGTTGCTGTGCTTGGGGGGGGGGGGCCCAGGTTATGTACATGTCAGGGTTTTCCTTCACACTTTTCCTAACACTTTTTTGTTGTACCTGCCTTTCAATCCCTGCCCTTGCTGTGCCCGGGGGGGGGGGGGGGGCAGGTAACCCCCGGCCGAAAAAACCGGGTTTGGTTCACAGCAAGCCCCTTTTTTTTTTTTCCCCCCCTTTTAAACCCACCGCCGTCCCCTCCCCAAAAACTCCCGGGGGGAAGGGGGGAAAAAAATCCCCCCCGAAAAACCCGCCCCCCCCTTCTCCAAAAACCCCCAAAAAACCCAAACCGTTGGGGGGAACCCCAAGGGAAACCCCCCCCCCCGAAAAAAAGACTGGGGGGAAACCCTGAAACCCCAACCGGAAAAAGAACCCAAATTTCCCCGGAAAAAAGGCGGCCCCCCCAAAAAAAAAACCAAAACCCCCCCGGCCAAACCCTGGGAAAAAAAAAAAAAAAAAAACCCCGGGGGAAACAAAACCGAAACACCCACCGCGC